TTTATTTATATGGCATAGGTAAGAGCCTGGTATATGGTATGTGCTCCAAATCCTGGCTTTAACCCTTGACAAATGCTCAACTAGATATTAAACCATCTGTATTATAAAAAAAAAAATAAGGAAAACAATGATATTTGATATAGAGATAAATACACTGAATTTCAATAAGCATCTATTAGCAGCAAAAGAAAAGGGCAACCTAATCTCATCATGTGAGATCCTTTGGCTCTAACAGAAACATATAGCTGTGTCATTTAAACTAAGCAATATCACTTAACACAATATTAGAGAATACAGCAGAAAAATCAAAATAGATGTTCTTCTTTCCTTCAATGAATCACAATTAAAAATGGACCCATACCACATTAAGGACAATACTGAAATGCAAAGAGCATTAAATCAATTTTTTTTCATTTTTTAACTTGGTGGCAAAATGAGTCCTGGCCTAGGGGTTCTATATATTCTCAATTATTCCACTAACTATAAACATTCATATACCTTAAGTTACATTATGTATAAATCTGACTGGTGGTTTAATATATGATGTGCTCCATTACTTTGTAAAAATACAAAATATTCCAAATACCAAAGCATACACAGCCTAAAGGTTTTAGATATTGGGATCTAAACAATCTCTGTCTAAGGGAAGAAAGAGAGAATAAACTTATGAGAGGTAATTGCCTAAGGCAGAGAATAGTGGTTATGAATTATTTTCTGTTCTTCATTAATCAGTATTTTTAAAGAAACCTTAAATATCCTATAATATAGACACTAAGCATGACTTACATCACTGAGTTCTAGGAGGATTCAAAGATAATACTACTTAAAAAAAAAAAGAAAGCACTCAATAAATGTAATGTGCTTTAAAAATACTGTGAACTTCCAGAAAAACAACTCAGTCTTAAAATAAATACAACCAGAAGGATCCTTCGTGTGGGAATGTCATAGGAACTGAGTAGTCTCTAGAAAACGCCATCCTGCTTGGTATCGAGCATTGCTGATCAGGGAAACCCCCAAGAGAACGAACACAGTCCCTGCACCATGTACTCGAGCACACATACTACTGATCGTGAAGGTCATGCCGGACCTGGCAATGTTTAGTTCTGCTGTACATGAGGTCCCCATGGGGCCAAATCCACAAGTGGCACTTAGAAAAATACTTGGAACATTAACCAGGAGTAGATAAACAGATGAGAAGCACAGATTTCAGCTCTGTTAGAGAAACTGCTGTGTGGTGCTGTCAGGGGATGCTATCAAGCCAATTCTGACGCACAGTGTTCTGTGTACAGCAACACAAAACACTACCCAATGCTGTGCGGTTCTCACCATGATTGCTCTGTGGCGGCCACTGTCTCAATCCACTTAACTGAGCGTCTTCTTCCTCGTTTGTGCTGTTCCTCGACTTCACGAAACATGACGGCCTTCTCCAGGGATGGCTGTCCCCGATACCATGGTCAAAGGACATGAGGCAAAGTCTGGCACCCTCACTTTGATTCTAAGCAGAATTCTGACTCCATTTCCTCCAGGACAGATTTGTCTGTTCTCTGTCAGTTCATGGTACAGTCAATATTCTTTGTCAACACCCTAATTCAAAGGCATCAGCTCCTCTCTGGTAACCCTTATTCATTTCCTGCTTTCCCATGGACATGAGGCAATGGAAAATAGCCTGGTTTGGGTCAGACACATCTTAGTCCTCAAAGTGATATATTTGCTCTTTGATACTTTCTGGAAATATTTGCAGCAGAGGTTGCCCAGTGCAATAAATACACCATTTGATTTTCTGACTACCGTGTCCATGAATGTTGATTATGGACTCAAGTAAAATCAAATCCTTGACAAATTCAATCTTTTCTCTGTTTATCAGGATATTGTCTATTGATCCAGCTGTGATCATTCTTGTTTTCTTAACATTGAGCTGTAATCCATATTGCAGGCTGAAGCCTTTGATTTTCATCAGTAATTGCAAGTCCTCTTCATTTTCAGAAGGTAAAGGTACTCCCTATGCACAGCACAGATTATTAATGAACCTTCTTCCAATCCTGATGTTCTTCTTCCGTTAGTCCAAATTCTTGGATCATATGCTCCACATACAGATTGACTAAGTAGGCTGAAAGGATACAACACTGACACGCACCTTTCCTGCTCTTACACCATGCAACCCCCTTGCTCTGCTTAAACAATGGCCTCTTGTTCTCTGTACAGGTTGTGCATGAGCACAGTTAATTATTCTGAAAGTGCCATTCTTTGAAAAGCTATTCCTAGTTCGTTAAAAGCCTTACTATTGATACCTTTGCACAGTCACCAGAACACAAGTAAGTATCTTTCTAATAGTCCCCGTTTCCAGCCAAGATCGATCCAATAACAGTAATGATACTCCTCCTTCCACATCCATGTCTAAATCCATATTGAATTTAGACTAGCTCTGTCAGTGAACTGCCACACTGTTTGAATTATCTTCAGTAAAATTTTTGCTTGAGTATGATATTAATTATATTAGTCAATAATTTCCACATTCTGTTGAGTCATATGTCTATACTCAGCATGATAATATATTTTAAATTTATAAAGAGAAAAGTCCAACCGTTTTCTTTTTTCTAGACCATAGATATTTCTACTATCAGTCCTTAAAAATAATGTTCTCAGGGGAG